CACACTGAATGAAAACCGCCGAAAAAACGCTTTTCAAACTAAAAAAAAAATGAAATCCTAATATCTCTCTCTCTCTCTCCCCCTCCCCCCCCCCCCTCCCTCCCCACCAGGTGCTGCTGCTGCTCGTGCTGCTGATCCTCTCGGGTCTGGTTCTCGGGGCTCAACCTTTCGGGCTCATGGCAACTCGACAAGACGGAGCTCAAGATCGTGTCGAACACCGGCTCGCCCTCGGAACGCCGCTACGCCCGCGCCATCGAGCCCGTCCGCCGCCACGGGAACTTTCTGCTGTGCACGCTCCTGCTGGGGAACGTCCTCGTCAACTCCACGCTCACCATCCTGCTGGACGAGCTCTCCTCGGGCCTCGTCGCCGTCATCGGGTCCACGGCCGGCATCGTCGTCTTCGGGGAGATCATTTCGCAGGGTGAGCAGGCGGGGGGAGGCGGTGGGGGGTGGGGTGGTGGGGTGGGGGGTTTGTTTGCTTATCTTTGTTGGTTGTTGTTTGGTTTTTCTATGATTGTTTTTTTTGTCATTTTTTTTTCGTGTGCGTTGATTTTGTTATTTTTATTGTTTTTCTTGTTTCGTTTTTTTGTTGTTTTTATTTTTTTTTTTTTTTTTGGTTTTTTTTGATTGTTTTTTTATCTTTTTATTGTTTAATGATCTGTTATTGGTTATTATTTAGTATGCATAATTTCTAATTTCCTTGATTTCTATTTATTATTGTAATTGCGTCTTATTTTTTTTGTTTATTATTGTAATTGCTTGTTTTTCTTCTCATTGTTGATCTTTCAACTGTTGAGTGTATTTGGATAGATATATTTTTAATATTTTCATGTTCATTGACATTAAGAAATCATGAATAAAGTAAATAAAGACACACAAAATATCATGGATATAGTGAAAATGTGTCAATATAAATTTCAGTTTTTAGTACTCCTTGAACTAACCCGCCGTTCTCCCCCCTTCTCCCCGCTTTTCCCCTGCCTTTCTCCCTTGTTTCCCCCCTCCCCCTCTCCTCCCCGCTCCCTTCTCCCTTCTCGCCTTCTCCCACCCTCGCTTCTCGCAACAATTCTTCCGCTTTCTCCTACCTTCTCCCTATTTCTCCCCCCCTTCTCCCATCTGCTCCTTTCTCTCTTTAGCGCCACCAGCGCTCCTTTCCTCTCCCTCTCCTTCTCCCCCCTTCTCCCCCTCGCTCCCCTCCTTCTCCTCCCCCTCCTCCGTCCCCTCCCCCTCCCCTTTTTCCTCCCCCGTCCCCTCCTTCTCCCTCGCCCTTCTCCCTCCTTTCTCCCCTCCCTTTCTCCCCTCACAGCCATCGCTGCTCCCGCCACGGCCTGGCCATCGGCGCTCGCGACCGTGTGGCTCGTGCGGTCTATTCATGGTACTCACCCCCCGGGCCTCCTAACCGATCCCCAACGGTAAGACAGCTACGGCGGAGTTTGTGGATATTTTCGGGATTTTGGGTCGGTGGGCCTTTTGTTCTCATGTTTGGGTTTTCTATTTGTCTTTGTTATTTTCTGGTATTCGTTTTCCTTTCTCTTTTCTTGTTTGTCTCTTTTCGGTGTCGTTTTTCTCTTTTCTTGTTGTCTCTCTCGATTTTCTCTCTTTCTTTCTCTCTTTGTCTCCTTCCGATTTCTCTTTTTTCCTCTCTCTGTCTCTCTTTCTCTCTCTCTCTCTCTTCTTCTCTCTCTCTTCTCGTTCTCGTCTTCTCTCTCTCGTCTCGCTCTTCCCTCTCTCTCTCTCTCTGCTCTCTCTCTTCTCTCTCTCTCTCTGTTCTCTCTCTTTCACTCTCACTCT